CTTCACTAAGATCGAGTTGTATTTAGAGTATATATAATATACTACCTCCGTTAACGGTTATTTGCAACATATACTATAAATGAATGCTAACTATTATGTGCAACAAATGTTTTTTTTTTCCTTTTTAGGTAATCATTTCTCTCTATCTTTCTCCTCATCACATGCACCCAACTTTTTCTCTCTCCATTTTACTCTCACAAACAAATTTTGCCTAGGAGTCCGCAAACACCCTCTTTGTTGCAAATAATAGTTAACGGAGGAAATATATAGGTTATTTGATTTTTAGTGTTAGGATATATTTATGCATGTAAAGTAAATATAACTTGGGTATATATTTGTGTATATTTTTTGGTTAGGAGTTTTAGATAGATTAGGTTAAGTTGTATGCCTATTTATACAGGTGTTTGATGGTAAAGATTTTAAGCCGTTTTCTCCAATAATTCTTGAGTTTAACATTTAGCATTTGGGGTAGTGATAATCAAAGTAGGGAGGGTAGAAGAGATTGAGCAAGAAGCCATGCAATGCATATTAACAAATGACTAAATAATCATACGGTATATTGCAATAATATAAGGATGGTCTAGATCGAAAAAACGAGGTAGTATGTAAGGGTCTATGGGATATAGAGCTAGTATACTTTATGTTATTAGACAATAACCAAATCATTGTACCAATACCACATACGATTGTATATATAAGTAAGACACGAAAACACAAATTAGTTTAATAAATTATATTTATACACGTCGAATTAAAAATTCATCACTTAAATTTTTATTTGAAGACGAAGAACTACATATAGTATATATGTATGCTTGTTTACAAAAGTTAACCTATGAAAGCAATTAATTAAATTCTAAGAAATCATTCTCAATTCATCTCTCATTATGTACCACACACACTAGACATTAAGACATACATACTCAACCACTTATAAAATCCCCCACTTTTAATTCCAAACTCCATTCAACAGGCAATTAAATCATTTGCCATTTGTCGAGGAACACTACAATTCCATGTCCAAATTTCCTGTTTTATGGTTTGTTATTTTCTCCTGTTAATTAATTACACTATTTATATTCTTTCAGGTCTCCAAATTTGGTAGGTCAGACAATAATTAAAAATTTAGTACTAGGTTCATTGGACCACGGTCAGACCCTTGGCCCTATTATTTTAGACCACAGATTCATGATTTACCTAGGTGAAAAAATATGGAAAAAAATAATATTATTTATATATTTTATATTTTATTTATCTTCATTGTTATAAAAAAATTATTATATGATGGTATATATATGATTGATAAGTACAGGCTGTTAATTTTGGAATTTAATGAAAATGTATCCGTAATCGAAACGTCCTCACCAACGTACGTGCCTACCAGCTTGCATGGTGGCCTTTGTTTGTTTGTAAACCCCACTATTCATAATTCATGCTATGCTGTGGGATTTGATCGATAATAATACTTTGCCTTTTTTTATTTTTTTATTTTTTTTTTGGGTTTTAGCTCCACTTTTTATGATTTATATGATGTTGATACTTGGTTATTGGTAGCAATGCGTAAGCTAGTCTTATCTTGATATTTATGGTTTCGTTATCTTCCATGCAAGGAAAGTTGGTGTTGTGAAAACAATAATGTGTAAAGTGCATGAGCTGAGTAAAATGACAAAAACACCCTGGCTTGAGGGTAAATGAGAAATTTGGCCACACCGGCCGGGATGAGTACTCATGATGACCTTGTCGTGGTGGTCGAATTGAAGGTAGCCATAACAAGTTACAAGCTAGTTTATTAGGTTAATTTAATGAAGTATTATAATACATTTCAGTTATTTATACTTATCTATTAAATGGCGTTCCTAAAAACGTCGATGTGTCACGTAGCTCCTATTTTGTTACGTCATGTCATCTTCCCAACATCTCATGATGCCACATCATCATTCAAACAATGCCACATCACCCAAGCAACTAACATTAGTCCATATAAAAACGTAAAGGTAAGGAGGTTCGAACCCTCAACCTCTTATAACACATTTGACTATTTAGGCCAATATCAACTATATTATTTGTATGGAAAAAAATTGATATAAATGCAAACCACAAGGTTTAATTAAAAAAACATATATATATATTCAAAGAATAATTCAATTTTGGTTTGACAATGAATTGCAGTTTAGAAAATTTACAAAAAATTATCAATTGTACGCCTACAACAGTAGCAACCCGGGGCAACGCCCGGGGTCACTCACTAGTTGTACGTTATGCAACTGCCAATTGATAAGGTCTCGTTACAAAACCAATTATAAATAACCTCATATACTACTTATATAATTTGTAAGTTAGTGAACATCTTTTAATTTCAACTTTTTTTTTAATGTGGGACAAATGTTCACAACTCACATATTATCACATTCAATTCAATGCATATCTAATTAAGCATATAATTTGTACTCCGTAATTAAGTAGTTGTTCTGCTTTAGGCACACTCATTCAAATTAATTTGTTAAAGGTTCAATGTACATTTTGGAGGGACAATTAATCTATATATTAGTTGTGAGCAGCTTATATTTGTTTTTATGTTTTTGTAAATAATACTCAATGCAAAAGTTGATTGTTAAAAAAAAAAAGAAGGCAAAAGTCTGCATTTCTTTAATTGGTGGGCACATCATAAATTAGATTAGGTATTTGTTTAAAATCATCATATTTAGAATAGTCTGAATTCTTTCTGTAAATGGTGGGCACACCATAAATTAGATTAGGATGTCTGATGGTTTCGTGATCCGATAGCAAATGCTTCTTTCATCCCTTAAATTACTTGAGCATTTATTAGGGGCAGACTTATATGCTTCTAATATGAGTGGTCGAACTCCTATGTTTATGTATACTTTAATTTGTCTTAATTAAATATAAAATTTCCGATTATATCCCTTGCTTAATTTCGTACGATCGAAATTGGTGAACCACTGATAAATGGAAATATTGATATACATTTTTTAAAAACTCTTAGCTTTACTCTAGTATATATTAATTTTCTAACACCAATTCAAAGTCCATGAATCTATGATGTTAATAACGTAACTTCAAGCTAATTAATCTATGTATCATGTTGCATGGATAATGCCATAATGATCAAGTGTTTCAAGGCTTAGGGCCTATTCACATTTATTGAATTGAGCTGAACTGAACCGGGCTGAATTGAAATGAACTGATTGGAGTTGAACTGAACTGAATTAAACTGAAATGAACTGATTGGAGCTGAACTGAACTGAATTAAACTGAAATTAAGCTGAAATGAGCAGGCCTATGTATGGTGATTGAAAAAACATTTACTGTACAAAATGTAAACAATAGTGACATGCAAAGAAGTACAACTTTACTTAAAGACAAGCTAAGGAAATGGAGTACCTTGTATAAATAGTACCGGTGTAGGTGTTATTGTTAGTATCATCGTGAAAGTGTGAAAGTTTGCTACTAAGGCTTTAGAAAAAGGGGTTTATCCGGGCCAACATACATAGTTGTATGCAAGCATATAAATCACAATTTTATTTTGGTGTCACAAACTTAAATGATGGTGACTGTGACATGCAAAATAGACCACATGCAACTATATGTGAATATGCCTATTTTGATAATGATCGAAAGAAAGAGAGAGTAATGTAAGTGGTCCTATGTTTTTTGGTCCTTACTCAAAGAAGTGGTCGAATGAGAGCTAGCTAATGTCATTCCAAGCCATCTAGCTTGCTAGCTAGCTGCTCTTGCTTTGTCCTTGTCTATCATTTCCATTCTTGTGCTAAATCTTGCTAACTTAATTTGTGCTTCAGTTTGACATGTTAAATTGTTTAGTTGTTGGACCCTATTGAATTGGTACGTACTTCAGATAGAGTTCTGACAAGTCAATGAATTGTAAAACAGATTCACTAGAAACTAGCGAGGGGGAAGAGTAAGAGATGTTCTTACTCTTGAAAATCCGATCCCTTTATTTGTATCCCATTAATTTTAAATCTTGACGTCAACCACTATGCCAAAGTTTCCGTATTATTACGCCAAAGATTACTCAATTAAGTAACCTGGGCTACTTGAACCTTGATAAGACGAATTAAATCATCCAAATATTTAGGATATACAACAAATTCTTATATATAGTACGTATTTTGCAGAAGGTTAAAGAATGTAAATTGGCAAATTTTGCAGAAGGTTAAAAAATGCAAATTGACAAATTTATCCGAATAAATTAAACGTATATAATATAGTAAGGCCAAGAGCTGGAATTTGATGTGTTTAAGTTACTTTGATTAAATTGTCCTTTCATATTATCAAAGTAAATCTTCAATTCTCCACAAATTGCATGGCATGTGAAACATTATTACTTAAGACTAGGAGTAAATTCGAAAATTATGGTAGTTTTGCTCCTTAAGGTGAGGCAACCGTCCTCGATTACAATCATATGTACTGATCCAATGAATTACGCAGTACAATGCATGCCAAGTCTCCCAACACAAGCAAACTTTATACTAATTAAAGCCATATTTAATTTGGATAACCAAGTAAACTTTTTTATATTTTTTATTGTACAATTAATTATAACAAAATGCTTGTTATATGTAGATGGAAATATTAATATTTCAGCCCGTCTTGTGTGCAGACGGCCACACCGTGTGACCACTTAAAGTAATCCTTATAATATTGATTAAGTAGCCTCTATAATACCGATTGACTAACCTTTATATAACACTGACCGAGTAACTCTATAACAATGACGAAGCAACTCCTTAAACACTGACCGAGTAAATCTATAACAATGACGAAGTAACTCCTTAAACACTGACCAAGTAACCCCCATTACACTAGGCCACTAGCGAAGTAATTCCGGATGACCAGCCACATATAAGACTTTGTGTTAATATTTATATGAAATTCAATTTTGTATTGTATTAGAAAGGTGACTACACTACACAATTAGGAGATTGTTTATACAAATCAAATAAGGCAATGAATCACAAAAATGATATGAAAATACTCCAATTAATCAATATTGGATACCATTAATAATAATGCATACAATATGGTAGCAATACAATAATAAAAATCTTTAATCACTCTAATAATAAAAAAAATCCAAAATTCTTCTGGATTTTCTTATTTTATTTTTCTTTTTCTAATTTTTCTATCCAGCCTAAAGCTTTTTAATCTCTAATTTTTCTATCCAGCCTAAAGCTTTAAGCAAGAATATAATCAAATAAATAAAGCATAATATACATTCTAAACCCCTACTTACCCCAAAAAAACCCATTTTCAAATAAATGGGATTTTTTTTTTTAATTTCAAAAAAATATTAAAAAAAATAAAAATAAATAAATAAATTAATAAGCATATAAGCCAACCAAATCTTCTAGAGACTCAGATTGTGAGTCAATATTTTGCAACATCCATAACAAATGTTCAAATAAAACGACTTCACAACCAATTACTATGGTCTCTTCATCACAGCCGTCCGATCTATCAACAAGCTCGTGAATGACCGGATGATCAAGCACCTCAGATGTGACGTGGTAACGTCGGAGTGACTTACCAACGTACACTGTGTGAAGCCCACTGCCAATGTTGTTGGTTGATGACACGTGGCAGTCATCGGAGGGTGCGGGCGTAGAGTTTACGCTGCTCTCGCGTCGCAGCTTACTAAATGAGTTCATCTTTTTCAATGCTGACCGTAGCTTAGTTAGCTTTCCTGCTTTCGCCATGTTCACAAGGGCCATTTCTGATATTTTGGAGGCGAAGATGAGAAAATGTATGGAGAAGTTGGGTGTATGAGAATTGTGAGAAAATGAGAATGTAGGAAGGAGTAAAGTTGTAGGTGGGTATATATAGAATCAGAATTTTTTTTTTTTAATATTAATATTAATGTGTTTATTATTTGTTGAATAAAAAAATGTGGACCCAATAAAGGGATGTGTGTTGGGATTTTAGCTGGATACTTAAGGGGGGACCTACAGGATACACCCAGCTGGTACTTGTTGGGCTAAATCTTTGAGGGGATTATGATTTATGATACTTGTTTTTATTGTTTTAGGTGTAATTTGTTACATTATACTCATCTTTTGGGTTATCTTGTTACCATAAATCAATGTGAAACGATATCATCTAAAAATAAATTCTACTTAGGAAAGAAATTGACAGTAGTATGCTACGGAGTACTCCGTATTTCATAAGTTCATTTACATAATCATATGCAATGTATTATAACATGATCCATTTTGTGAATGTGTTACTAAAATCCATGATTCGATTTTAACCTAATCTTAATTAAGGGATAGGGTTGAGAGAATGCGAGTATATGGATGAGATGTTTCGAACTTTATAACCAGATTCATTGAATCTTAAAAATTACTAGGCTAATTTGTTTATAAACATATTCATTGTATCTTAAAACATGCTATTTAAAGTAATGATTTGGTGGATTTTAGTTCCTTTCTCAAAATTTAATCCTAATGATTCGCTTACAAAATGTACATTTTTTTTTTCAATTTTCTTAGGGTACATTTTATTTACTTGACCATCATTAATATATGAATTTATCTAAACTCGATCAAATGAACTCTATTGAACTTATCATGATTTATTTTAGTCCATATATTTTTTGAGGATAACTTATCATAATTTATTACTTGGACTTAGGAATTTTTAATCATATAATTACTTATTTAAACTTAACAACTTTTATCATAATTGAAGGGAAGAAAAAAAATCTGATAAGAATTATCCAAGTTTAAATTACAACTAAAATAAGTTTTAATAAAGTCTAATAAGTTCATATAAGTAAAAATCAGGTGAATTGAACACACGTTTATTATGTGGAAAGAACTATGAAACGTCGAAAGTACATACACTAACGACCATTGTTTCAATTAAGGCATATTCCTTCAACGTCTGGAATTTACACATACAAGGAATTTCATTGCTCTTAATACTAATTGCTGATTGCGTGCCCTATTTGGGTACCTTTGGTTCGTCATAATGCTAATCCATTATTTGTGATTCTACAAAGTCATTGGAATGGATTTGGAATTTGCATATTACATCTAAGATTAATTAAATTGCTTGGCTGAATTTAAGTTTCTTTGAAATAAATTTTATTATTCAGAGTTTTGTGGTGGATAATAAGCTACGAAATACAAGTAAATCACATCATCTAAAATTTTACATTACTTAAAAGAATAATCCTATTCCCATGTTCATATATGTATTTTACTTACTTACAGGATCTCATTTATCATTCTTGCTCAAATAATTAGAATTGCTCTATTTTTTTTAACATTATTTTAAAGAACAATCATATTCCCATGTTTATATATCTATTTAACTTATTTACATGATCTTATTCATCATTCTCATCAGTTAGATAATAATAACGATAATAATTACGAAATTTAATTAATTTTATTATTATTATTATAATTGCTAACCAGTCATATAGAATTTATGTTATTATTAATATTACTATTACGATTATTATTATTTATTATTAACTTGCAATATATAATAATAAGGATCTAATCATCATGGATCGATTTGATACCAAGGTCAGATCCCTAATACAGTCCACCAATCTTAACTTAGATACTCAATCTTCAAAACCTTAGTTGGACATGCATTATTTTTTTTTCTTTATAATTATAATTTTGTAAAAGAGAAAAAGTGTAATTAAGTGAAAACGACCTAATAGGTTTAAGATAAATAAATATGTCAAACGTAAGAAAGCAAAAAAATAAAAAAAATGTAGAATTATAAATTCATGGTAGTGATGCATCTATCTGTCTTTCTCATGATCTGATCCCATCAATGGAATTACTAACATACGGTACACCTAGCTGGCTTTAGTACACCCCATATTTTCCCTTTCATATATACCACGCACTTCTTCTATTTTAGATATTTGGCTACAATCAAGTCATACAATCATAGATGAGTCAATCTATCCAGAAAAAAAACTATTCACGTTATGTTCTATGGTTCGTACTCTTTATAAAACGGTTTAAGGGTATTCAAGTAAAGTTACATGATGACAACACCACGGTTTAAGGGTAACAATTAACAAATACATGAATTGATTAGGAATTTTTACTTAATTTGAAAAGGATAAACAAGTTTTAATATTTTGAATCTATAGCATGTTGATTATCAACGTCTCAAAATAATAATAATAATAATAATAATAATAATAATAATAATAATAAGCAAAGTGTTGATCAAATTTATACGATAATTCTTCAACTGACATACATACACAAGTTTAATTTGTGTTGAAGGAGATCGAGTCTAATTGTTTCTTCTTAAAACAACAATGAAAAGTCGGTGGAGTAATCCATTACAAATATTATAAGAAATATATACCTTGCATTAGTTATGACAAATGAGGGAGAAGAGAGAATGAATACCTTCATTATTATTCATCGATAGGTAGAGTATTTATACAAAACCTACGCTCATAAGATAGGAAACAATATTCCTAAAAGATATACCATGTAACCTAATGATATATTCTCTAAATAATATCTTAACATAAGATAATACTAAATATATTATTCTCATAATGATATCTATACGAAAAATATATCACATATATTTTTCGATATATCATATCTCTAACAAGTTATTTCTATTACAGTATTTCTTATTTCAATTCACATGCAATGTGATTTACAAGTATTAAATGATTTTTCACCAAGTGCACGCGTACGTTTTCTTGTTGATTGTGAGCTGAGTTTAATCATCGTAAAATGTAAGAAATAATACTTCAATTCAATATATAGAAGAAAATCAATGATATTTGTGCACTTGCTAGTTGTCCCTAATGCGACAATTCCTAGTTTAACAATACTCCGTAGTACAATACACTTTATATATAGCTACAAACTTATGATACACAACATGGCAAACCAAATTTCCTTGATACATGGCAAACCAAAAGAGGAAAAGAAAAAAAATGCATGTTATTAATGTTTATAATTATAACCGATTTACAAAGCAGAATATTATCTAATCTAATTTACATAAAATTGTGCTTTAACCGATAGATTTAATTAGCTCCATAATAACAAGCAATAGGTGCGCAAAAAACGTATAAATCAAGTAAACTTTATAATTTAATTTTGCTTCATTGTTTGCTTCAAAACCTTGTACCTTACTTTGAGACGCATTATTGGCAAGCAAAAGATTATTACATCAATAGTTATTAAAGTGTCAAAGAGACGCAAATGTATTCTATCAAATGAGATATCTTTTATACAATTGCACAATCAATTTTACAATTTTAAATTACAAGCCTTCAAACTCTAATCCTTAAATCTTACAGAGTATTAACTTTCTACTTTTAATTTTTTTTTTTTCAAAACTATAACTTATCATAATTTCCTACGTCAACACAATGACTTCCTCCAAGTATACAATCTCCTCAAGCCAAATTTGAGAAAAAATTATTAGCGGCAATAAATGACGATTAATACATTCCGTGCTTTAGCACTAATAAGCTCTAGTAATTGCTAATTTTAAGGCCTTTGTTTATGTGATCATCCATAGTTACTATGCCTAATTCATGTAAATTGAGCCACAAGCTACAACCTTAGTGTAGTAGTCATAGTAGATATAACGGGTTGAATAAATTATACTATCAATGTGACTATTAATGTTGATGCAGGATAAGTTAAAAGGATAAAGTTACCGACATTATTATGTTTAATTAGAAGAAATAAGTACATTTAGAACATTACTTATAAGTAACATAGCATTCCGTATAATAATTAACATATCAACTAATTAGCTGGTATTACTAATTAATCATCATGTTTCTCAACCACATGACATTGAATGACGTTATACTGTGCTCCCGTTGCCCTGGCCTCTATCCAAATTGCATGAGGAATTGAAGGGGAACAAATCTAGCTAATAAATAAAAGTGTATTCAAGTGGTTAAATGATTATGATTATTCTACCTCGCTCTTTTCTCATATCAATAATTATTATGATTCTAAAATTATATTACATTTGACGAAAATAAAGTTTACTTTGAGGATCATTCAAGGAGTACGGTCCAAATATTTTCGAAATAGTTGTGTATATATTAGTATATGTGTATTGAAAGTTATATATATATGATGAGCACCATAGACCATAGGTAATTAAACATTATACTTAAGGGAACCATATTAGCAAAAGTGAGAAAATAAGGAAGAATAAAACTGGTCATCAACAGGTAATGGACCTTTAGATGAAGGGGGTATAAAGGTTGAATTTTTGAGGAATAAAATGAAGGTTAGATTTTTAGGAGAAAAAAGTGCAAATGTTGGATTTTTCATTTTCATTTTTCCAAATGTAATTAGAAAGTGATAAAATATTCACAGCGGAAATTTAAGGAATAATATAGTGAATTATTTAATTAGATTATGTTTTGTTTATTTTTCATAGTTTTTGTCTTCACTTTGGAGTTTGATGAGAACAAAAACTAAAAAAAAAAAAAAAATTATGGTAAATAATTAAAACGAAATTATAATTTTGAAATATACAACAAATGTACATATAGTTGATAGCAGCCACACGACATCTTCCATGCATAGTCATAAACATGATAAATCTAATAATTCCTCCATGATTTATGCTAGAATTTTTTTGTTCAATTAAGTTGGATTTCTCAAGCAGTCAAACACGCTAGGTAAACAATTGAATGAGAAACCAAATAAGCTTTATCAAACCTTAATTCTCACTAAAATATGTACCGCTCATTATTATTTTATATTAATTAATTAGTTGATAACAGCCACGCGACATTTCCCACCACATCTTCCATTCAAAAACTTTTAATATTTTATCAAAACCAAACAATTTAAATCAATACCATGTTACGACTTAAGGCACATATAAAGTGATACAGAGGATTTTGACTTGCTATGCAAACTCAACTTGTAAGTTATAACGTGTGACATAATATAGTGCATGGAGTGAATATTCGGGGCTAATAAGCCGTCCTCTCTTAGAATTCTCTCCCTAGCTAACATATTGACAATAATTTTACAATTGAGTGACCTACACTGTTCCTTTCAAAAGCATGGGAAATATCCACA